TGATCGGTGATAAAAGCTGTCGCATCGCATCGCGGCGAGGTGTGTACCTACCTATCTATCCCACCCACCTACCTATCTACCACCTACTCGCCGGCTGAGAGATCGAAAAAGAATCGCGGAGAAGACCGGTAGAGAGCGAAAGGGATGAGGACGAGAGATCGGGTTCGCGGGATAAAGAGGTCGACAATAATGCGCCGCCGGTGCACCCTCGGTCCCGTGGCAGCCTCGGTCGCAGCAGGCAGCCATTATATTGTTTTACCTCTGTATCGCGACCGGAGATCGGCGAATACGCCGCGGTGGGTCACATGAACACACGGGTCTTCGATGAGCAGATGAAAAAACCCGGAAGAAGAGACTTGCGAGGGAGATACCGTGACTCGAGAAGGGTATCTTTGATGAAGACACATCGCGAAGTGGAGTAATCGAGTGACGTCGAAGTCATCGGATTCACTAAAACCCGAACCGCCAGTTTAATTCGCGGGGGTAACCGTCGGAATTGGGTTATTAAAGTCGAAGAAAGAAAATTGGGGAACTTTTAGGAATCAAAGAGAGAAAGTCTTAAGTAGATCAATTAAACACTCAAAAAATATAATGTCATCCTTAGCGAAGAATCATGTATATTCTATACATCTTCAACAAAATTCTTGTAAAACCAAAAAGAAAATATTGTAACATCCAAAAAAATAACTCTAATTGCAAATTTTTCCTTATAATTTTATATATAAACAAAAATTTTTACTAAAAGAGTATTTCATTTCTAATGAAGAATCCTCTTGAGGTCATACATAAAAGAATTTCGCTAAGGTTGAAATTAGATTTTTTTCGGCAAATTATAGTTTGGTTGGAGATTAATCAATGAGAACAACTGGTCGTTGACGCGAGAGACAAGCACCCGCTTTCACGTGAAGATCACGAAACTGTTACCGAAGGAATCTAGGGTGCGAGTCGCAAATTTACTATGCGAGAAGACGTAACGTCATGTCGGTAACGAATATTATCACCGTACCCTCCTCATCGTCCTCATCGAAGCGCATCGCCCGATAACGCGCTCATGTATCCTCATACACACACCCGCACATCACGACGCGCGTTATATAGAGAGATCGCAAAGGCACATTCGTGAGGTTTCCTCCGCAGCGTGACACCCATCTCTCCGAGGTCCAGAGGTGGAAAAACAATGCTGCAACGACGACCCAAACCCATTTCGCGTCGATCACGACGGAGACTCTTTCCATTTCTCGTCTGTCTTTGTCTCGCTCGTCTCCTTTCTCTCTTCCTCTTCTTCTTCTCCTTCTCTTCCTAGCCTCGTCACTCTTTGCCACCCCTTATCTGCCCGTTTCGCCACCCTTTAGTGAAATTCTCTTGCATATCTCTACGTCTCTCGTCTCGCCTCGTGCGCGCAACGCGGTACAATGCAACCCCGAGACGCATTGTGAATCAGTCTCACCAGACACCCCTGCGACGTCGTCGACAACACGAGGACTATCCTGTGCGCGATGATACCTAAGCTAACCGTTTCGGGAGATGTTCCAACATCGCCGCGTCGCGAGGATTACAACGACGCGCCGATAACATCATTCATCCTATCGCTCCGTGTCGGCGACGATATCGGAAAAAGTGCACTGATCCATTATAAAAATGAACGCTGAGTACTCTTTGGTGAAGATGTATCGGTGTATCGGGTACAATCGTGACTTTCGACAATTCAAGTGCATTAGCACCGAGCTGATGAAGCGAACTTCGTCAGACTTGATTACCGCATGCAGAAATTCGAGTAACTTTATGCTTATTATTGCAAATCTATTCCCAACGCCAAAATCATCTTCGACTTCGAGACAAACACGTCTTTTCTCCTCACTCTCTCCCCTTCCCCCGTCGCCCCAGGGTGTTACAACTGTTTCAGGGAAAATTTGTTCCACTGCTCTATTTTCCGCAACGCGTCGATGCAGAGATTGGAGCGAGGGGAGGAGTGGCAGCGGCGGCGCTTTTTGCGGTCGGTGACAAAAGTGCAGAAATATAAGAAAAGGAAAGGTACATCCGCACCTTCGTCGGCGGCGCTCTTTATCGCGAACTCTTTATAGAAAACGCGAAGAAAGTGTGATAAACGCGACGTACCCACCCTCCCTCCACCCCCGACACAAAGGTATCGACGTTATCCGGAGAACCGTGGGATGCTGGAGACTTACATAAATAACTCCCTTTGAGGAGCGCGTGTACGTAAGAGAATGCCTGGAACGATGAGGCGACGAAGGGTCGATTTTAACACGCGTTGCGGCCAATTAATTAATTAAAACACCGCCGCGGTCCCATTACGCGAGCGGGCACTTGAACTGACGGGCTCGAGATTCTCGACGATGTTGAGAATGCAAAAGAATATCCTCCTTTACGGAGGAAATAATCATCGAGAGTTTTAAAAATAAATAGCGCACACCCGATAGACTAATGCACTATACTTTAATAACTTGAGGTATGTTAAATCAAGAGATTCAGCAGTCCTTTGTGACCGATCAGATTGCCCTAAACAATATATCATGTAAAATGTAATATTAAAATCTGCAACTTTTAATAAATTTGATGCTATCATCAATACCAAACAAATTTACATTATTGTATGATGTAAGTTTAATAATTAATTCAAGACACACAGAGTATATCTACTTGATAAATGTAATAAAAAGAATTGTGAAATTTTCATCATCGATTGTGTTGTGTGTATCACGTCGTGATAATCATGAAAATCTGCCTGGGACTTTTTTGAAAAGAGTATTTGTTATAGAAAATTGACAGAATAAACGAAAACGTTATTGCATTACAACGCGATAATCGAAGAAAACGAGCGACGGATATTCGTGTGGCGCAAAATTTCTAGTGAAATCTCTGAAGAAGGAACGAAAGATTTTTAGATTTAAGACACGCGATACGGGGCAGAGGGCCAGATCAAAAAATCTCACTCCCTCGTCGCAGGAGGGAGGGAAGCAGGAACAACCGGCGCCTGCAGCTCGCGCGATGATTGCGCCGTAATCTGCTTTCGCTTTGCTTTCCCGAGGGAAAGGTCGGGGGTGGTTGCTGTGCCTGCTGTTGCGTGATTGGCCGGGGGCGTCGTTGGCTCTTCCGTTTCGACCGATACATCGACAACAGTCGAGATACTTAGGGAGGATACGCGGGCGAAATAGAGCTCAAGGAGAGAGAGAGAGAGAGAGAGAGAGAGAGAGAGAGAGAGAGAGAGGGGGAGAGGGAGAAGGAGGGAGAGAGACGTTGGGTGGTAGGGCGAGAAGTAGAGAGACAGAGAACGCTCGCGCGCGCGAGATGATGGCGAGAGACGCAGAAGAGGGTGGCGGCAAGGACGGGGGTGAAACAACCCTCCTGACACGAGTTATCCTATAAACGGTGCCACCCCCGCAGCAACGCACCGATAATCCGGCCCCCGGGGCCCGCATGCGGTTGAGCGCTCGCAACAGTTACCATATTTGATTGTGTGCCCCCGCCTTCCACCCCTTCCAACAGGGATGGTAATACGAAATAATATTCCGTGCGCGGGTGAGAATCTCGCGTTCACGAAAACACGTGCTATTTTTTACGGGGGACTGAACACGTTGTTGATAACAATTGGGACACGTTCAGGAAGAATCGTTTTCCTTATTGTGGTAATAATGCAATAACAATTAATTAGTTCGGGGGTATGATCGCTGATTTTTTTTTAAATATATCTCGTCGAAAAGAACAAGCAAGCCTGTGGAGTTTGCTGTCTTATGGGAGAATTCTTAGACGCAAAAATTCTCTGAAGAGACACGCAAAGATCTTTGTGTACCGCGGACAGCCGAGAATTTTCTGTCTCGCGACCAACGGGAAAGCAGATTCGCGGGGTAAACGGCGCGTTTTAAATAAAAAATAGAAGGGACTATTTTTCGCTGCGCCTGACGCACCCCGCGTCGCACATAGCGTCGCGACGCGGCGCGGCGCGGTGTTGGCGGGAAAACGCGGGGAAAGAAATCGCGCGTTTGATGTGCCGCCAAAGAGAACGCGAGCGCGAGGGTAAGCAGGGGGGAATACGCCGTCGGTGGCGGAGTAGTTTCGCATGGTTTGGTCGGTCGACTGCAACCACGTTTCTGCGCAACCCCCTCGTATCCCTCTTCATCCCCTAACTGCTCGTTGCTCTCCTCCTCCTCCTCCTCTCTCTCTCTCTCTCTCTCTCTCTCTCTCTCTCTCTCTCTCTCTCTCTCTCTCTCTCTTTCTCTCTCTCTGTGTCGTTTACTCTGTTTCACAGCACATTTCTCTGTTCCTCCGCGTTTCGAAGGCCGCGCTTAAACGTTACCGGAAAATTATTACCGGAAAAGCGTTTCACACACGCATGCGGCGAACCGCGGGACCCACCGACGGAATTACATTGATATTAGTATCGTTTGGCCCGACAGATTAATTAATTAAAACGCACCCCTCTGCCGCCGCCTGTGGCCACTCCGCCACACACGTATTTGCGTTTCGCGCTAACGTTCTGACAAAGAAGGAGAGAGACAGAGGGAGGAGGAGAGAGATAGAAGCATCATGTATTAGGCGTTATGGGACTAAGTCCCTTCGGCGCTACAGTGTTAATATATAATAAAAATGATTATAACAAAGTTGTTTCATAGAAATGTGCAATGTTTATATATATTACGAAAAAAAAAATATATATAACCTTTATCATACAGGACGAATCATATAAGATAAATTAGAAAAGATCTATAAGTTATGCCGTGACAATTTAGTTTTGTCTTTTGACAGCATCAATTAGCACTTTATTTATAATGGACCGATTATTAATTCCACGGATATCTACACTGATATCCGATTCGAGATTTCATGTGGATAATAATGCAGATATACCACGAAGTTGTCAGCATATAAACGTTGTTCTAATCTGCAATCTCTCGCGCTTCAGTTCAACGTCCCCGAGTCTCGTATATCTTCTTATCTAACGCCGTTGTGATAACTATTGACACGGATTCTCTCCGCGGACTTACCTTTCTTCGCGTGGAGTATGTCCGCCGGATCCGGCGGCAGGGACGAACAATGGCTCGGACTCAAACTGGACTGTATCGACGAAAACGGGCTTCCCGCGCTCGACGGATACCTGAAGTGTAACGACCGGCTTTTAGCGAGTTCTGCCGGCGCTTTGTAAGACAAAATACGATTGAGGCTAATTACATAATTTGTTCGGCTTCGCGAACAGGGAGGCGACAATCGACAATGCGACGAATTGAGAAATTTTTAAGTCGAAATTTACTAACAGAATTATAAAATGAAATTCTTATTCCAATTCTTATTTTTTGGTCTGCAAATTACGAATATTTTAACTTTTACATAACACAAAATTAGGTACGTGGTCCAGGTATTTATATTTTTAATGCTTGTCTATAATACGCGGAGTAACCTCGATGTTTATGAGTAAGAAAAAATATTATTTATTTCACTATCTTCGAAGTATTTTTCTTAAGTATTTTTCTCCTGATTCTTCGCCGCGGCTATCTTGACTCATGAGATCAAAAGTGAGGAAATGAACTACGAAAGGATCTTTTTCATACGATCGCAGACTACATATTTCGCAAGTAATGTGTTCTTACCGCGAACGCGCTCGCTGATGAATGAATCTTAAGCTCTTACCAGGGATTGGGACGCGGCCAGCCAGTGGTCTGCCCGTTTAGTAGCCTGAGTTTATCGTAAACGCTCTCCGCCGGACTGCCGGCACCGACGCCAACCCCCACAGCGCCCACTCCTTGTTGCTGCTGTTGCTGCTGTTGCCTCTGTTCCTTCTGCGCGGCTAGATTCCTCAGTACCCTGTTGATCGAGGACACCTGCAACCCAAACACGCGTTCGTCGTCGATGAGCAAGACTCGCGCGGGCTATCGTGCACCGGGCTAATTAGGCGCGAACGCAAAACTATAAATCATATAAACCATCAAACGAAGGTTCTATTTAGACGAAACTTGTTTGACATGTCATTAACGAGAACACGCTCAATTTTGCGTCACGACGTTCTTTCGCAAACCTATGGAGTTCTACGCTTGAATCGTTCAATCATATTTACGCCATATCGCACAGTCGAATTTCTCTCTTTCACGCGTGAGATTTTGCGAACGACTCGAGGATTAAGTCATGAAACTGCAGATTCCCCGCTTGCCACCGTCGGGAGAATTCGCGAAGAACGCCTGTCGGAAGATTCCGAACCGAGAGTGGCTCTCACTCTCTCCTCTCTCTCTCCCGATGGTATCGGATTTATTATAAATACGAAGTGTGCGCGGGAGGGAACGATGAAGATTCCCCGGCAAGTAGAGGGTAAGAAGCGCGGAGGTGCTTCTGCCCGATGAAATGCGACGAGAGCAGTAATTAAAACGATGCGGTGAGCGGCTGTCGGCTCGGCGCAGCTCGGCTCGGCGCGACGCGACGGTGCGCGCCCGCTACACGAGGGAGTTAATTACCTCCGCCTTCAATTATATCCGTCTCCGCGCCACTCCAAGGGGACTTGGCTTCTGCCGACCTAAGTACGCACTCGCGCTTTCGCGTCGCGCTCGCAGCGCGCGGATTAACGCTCTCGCTGCGCTCGCACCGAAATCCGCGATCGTACTGTATAACTCTTAAGTCGCGAGCGAAGCGCACTGATAAACACCATGCCGTCGCGATATGAGGAAGCTGAGCTTTCTTAGGAAGAAATTCGGGAGATTTATATCGTAAGTTTCTTGAGCAATTTGAGCGGTGGAAAATGATCGACAAAGAAGTATTACTCAAGCTACTTCCTGATTTTACATACTGAGAGAAAATATTTAAGAAATAAAAAAATATCTATTATATTAATTAAACACATATTTACTTATATATTTTTATAAAAATATATTTTTCGAATAAAAAAATAAACATTTTCTTGAAACCTTAGCTTTTCATGAAAGCAATTGTCTGTTTTAATTAAATTAAAAAGTGCAGATTTTTATGTGAATACATGTTATTAACACCCGTTAAATAAAAATTTTTTTATTTTTCAAATATTTTCTCTCTCAGTGTATTAATCTTTTTTTATACATATTTTTCTATTTATATCTTTTACTATGGATAAATGAAAGAATCGTAAAACTCATCGTTTGATTTTCCAAAACGCGTTTCTTATTCTCGTAAGTAATTTTGTACTTAACCGAACTTACTTGGGGACGAGAGGAAAGTTAAAAGTTGAGATTTTTGCGCGCGACGTGATACACGAAAGATCCGGCTATTTTGCGCGCGACACGTACAACGCGAATGCGATGAAATATCTACGGGCGCGAAGAAGAATTTACGAGCTTCCCGAGACGGGGTTGCTCTTTTTATTTTCATATCCTTTATTTGTCTTCTTCTGCGGGCTGCCTTCGTTGCTTCTGTCACTTACAGCTCGTATAAATCCCGACGCGGTGCCGTAAAAGAATTCTCACGAAACTCAAGCGATACGTCCTCCTGCTGCCGATAGTTTCGCAATTTATTCCCTCGCACTTCCTTGCATTATCCCACGCATGTCGTGGCGGGCGACGTCATTTTAAGGGCGCAGTAAAACGTCGAGTCGACAAAATTCGACCTTACTCCGTCATTAAGAACGTCGAGGATCCAATGAGTTTGCGAAAACCGTCTCCGATACTAAACTCGCTCGACTGAGAAGTGGATGTGGCCGATATGGAAAAAAGTATTGTATTTAAAAAAATCGTATTCCTTCGCAGTAAGTAATGTCGATTGTCACACAAACTATCTATTCTCGATCTTTTTTTTTAATGATAAATTCTCCAACAAATGTCAAGAGTCAACATAAGGATTCGCTCTTTATCGCCACTGCTCGAGGCAGTGAAGCTCTTATTATTAAAAATTCAAACGATAGAAATATAAAATAATTCGTCGCGATCATCACAGCGCTCATATATTATTGCGAATTCGCGAACGCTGCGTATCGAGAGACGAAACGAGATACACGAGAAATCGGACGCCGGCTGACGACGGAACGCTGGATCGGTCATAGGAGATACTCGTTCCCCGGGGTTTGTTAGACCCGGTGTCAGGGTACCACGGCGTTGAAACGAGCTGACATCTCGGACCCACCACCGTAGCGGAACGTCATCCCCCTCGGCGCCCACGAAGCGACCACGACCATCACCGGCACCACCACACAGTCGCACGATCCTCATCGTGTCTCCGCCGCTGACGCGAAAGAGACGTCACCGGCACTCTCCCCTCGTCTTGTCCTCGACATCCAGCGATGTCCAAAACATGCCGCTTCTCGTGCCTCCGAAGATCCAAACGTCCGACGTTTCGTCAGCGAATTAACGAAGCTGCGGAGATGGGGAATCCGATCGAGCGGTAACAGATGACGGAATGAGTTAGAAAAGAAAAGTCGCAAAATGGATCATCGCTTTCAGAGAAGAGCGCGAAATTTCAAAAATATTATCAAGGTCTACTTGCTCCACGCACATGTGGAACAGAATACTGCGTATTGCTGTAGGAGAAGTCAAGTCAGCGTTAGTACAAGAGAGGACAATCGATGCTTGGCCTTGTCTAATTGTCTAGTTGGATGATCAATGTGTCCTCTTTTTCAAAATTTTTCACTCGTTCTTTTGTGTTCCTCACATCCTTCTGGAGTACTGCGCGAGTACAGAGAAAGCATTTCATTTAGGATAAAACACGCAATTCTCCTTTAGTCATTGACAACTTGAAAAAGTTTGGCTTTTCTTGCGGCCAGTGGCAGTTGTTCATAGTTTTAGTTGTGGAGTTCTCTTTTGGAAACATTAAATGCAGGCAACAAGTTTATGCAGTGCTGGTCGCATGAGAAACCAGATTTTTGTTTTAGAGTGTCAAGGGGACTAAGGAGATATCGATATAATTGAGTGTTTTACTTCCTGTTCTTGTTCTTTAATATTGTCATCAGCCGTCACGTAAGAGTACGCAATGACTCTGTGACCTGCTCGTAAATTTTATTGTCTCCTTGAAGCACCACCGGTTTTCCACGATTAATTTCTGAGATTTCCAGCAATGATGCATCTCATAGTTAACGAAAGGGGTTGTGCTCGACGATGTCGGACGGAACACCGCATATATCGAGTCGTGCCTACTTGGACTACGCGCATTTATCGGAATGCGGCGGAGGAGAAATCTGCGCAATCTTCTCGATTAGACGGAACGGCACCTTCTCGGGCTTGATTCCAGCTCGGGCTTGTGAAGTTGGCCGATGTCAAAGCCGATTCCACAATGAAAAGTCGTTGTCGCGCACAAAGACGGCACTTGGCGACAAAGCCGGAACCCGGACGGGCGCGACGGCTGCCTGTCAAAGGACAATCGGCGCCTCGCGTGACATCGAGTGTCCGACGGCTGTTTGACCGTTTTTTGATTGACGTCGACCGCAAATATCGCTGCTCGCCGCTACACGACCGTTGCGCGATATATTTACGACGTGTGTCACCTCCGTCATTATTCCTTCCGCTGGAGATCGTTGCGCTCTGGAAATCGATATCACAATGGTTCCGCGCTTTTGTGGCCTGTCAGGCAGCCACTTGCGAAACTACCACGAGCTGCACGTACCGAGAGGAGAGACACTTCCTTCTTCGCTCGATCTCACCGGGGGCGGAGAGAAAGAATGAAAGCCATGCACACACGTATACAGGCTAGCCGTGCGTTCCTCCGCATTAAATTTTAATGACAGTTTGTTTGCCTTCGGGGGTCCGACTTGCTCTTAATGTAAGAGTCGGCGGGTCGATGGCTCCTTTTTTCTCCCGAAAGAATTACGGAAGTCTTTCTCAAGATTTTCAGGAAACGCAAGAAGGATTAAGAAGTAAATCGACGCTACTCCAAAACGCCGAGGTTCCGTTGAACCAGCGGGACCACGTAGAATGGAGGAGTCCGTCGCGCGTTTTATTAGCTCGTCGTCGACAGTGGGGGGGTCCTCGACACATTTTTGCACGGTTGCGCGTCGCGCGCGATGCGAACAGCATAAAAGGAGAGCAGATATTATCCTTTATCCGTGCGGCGTGCGCACAAAGGCGGACACGCGGCGAGGGCTTAAAACGCGACGGGCACAAGAGGGAGGAAGAGAGAGCCAGCCAGGGCGTCGGATCGATGAAATTAGCATGAAGCGTGAAGAGCTCGAGGGTGGGCCGAACTCTTAAAGAGGGTGCTGGATAGAGACGTCATAATATTGCTCTCACGTGGCAGCTACGCGATAGTTATCCGCGACGAAGAATCTTTCCTGCTCCGGGAATACGACGGTGTCTCCCCGGGCAAGCTTCACGTTCTCTGACGGAGGAGAAACAGAAGCAGAAAGGCGCAAGACTTTTTTTTGCGCGAATTTTATTCCATCTATTATTCGTTGTCGGTGTATACCACTCTCGGGACGCAGCACGCGGCTGTTTTCGGGCCGGACGAGTTGATCTGACGAGAGCGTTTAAATTAATTAATTTAACTTCGCCAACAAAATAAAGTTTCCGCGGCGTCCACGACTCCCGTTGCGTGTCACAGTTGACGATTTCGGTCCCGCTGCCTGCGCGCGTTGCCCGTCCGGAGCTTGGAAAAATTGTAGTTGTCTGCGCGATTGTTGAGATTCGCTAAGTTCGATCTCGACGCCGCTCGCTGGAGGATTTTTAATCATCGTGGTATGGAAGAGCGTCGTCGCGAGACGGGTATTACACGAATGGCTCGCGACCCCCCGCGTAATAGCGCGTATATTATCTCTTAACGCGTGTATGCGCGAGCGCGGGCGCAATTTTTACGAGTGCTTATTCGTGCGGTAGTCGCGTATTTCCTGCCCGTTCATATGTATGTATGAGTCGGGGGTGTTAACCGTGAAGCGAGCGGAAGA